GGGGGGGGGGCAGACTTATAATAATTTTAAAGCGTCGTCACAATGGTTCTTTCGCGATTATTCGCCACGACTGGCGCTTGTTGCAAATTCGCACCTGCCAGGTCTGTCGCCGGAATTCGAGTTCCCGTTGTTTCGTCCAGAATTCTTAGAACTCGACGCGGCGATATAATTTCTCACGATTTTGCCTCGGCTCAAAATCAATTTTCTGCCCTAGTTTGCCCCGCCGCTAATTTCCTTCTTCTTCTTCCGCTTCGGGAATTTCCCGTTTTGAGGGAACTGCGAAGAGAACGAGGAGCCGCGAGAAATGGCTGAGAATTCGGACGGGAGCAATTTTCAAAGAAGTCGACAGCAATTAGTCTCGAATGTAATTTCCACGCTTATGATACAATCTGCGGGCGCGGATATCTGCGAAAGTTTCGCGGTTCTCTACGTAGAAAACGAGCGCGTCGCCGCAAGTTATCGAGGAAGACAACGCGGCGAGGGGGGGAGGGGGACAAAAGTTCTGGCCCGAGCCTTGATTCATTTTCTTCCAGCGACGCAACCGACCGAGTTTTATCGCAACGACAAAGTAGATTTCAGAAACTATCGCTCGTTACGGTTTCCCGATGATTTTAGTTTTCGATCAGATATTTCGCGGCGGAGCGAAACTTGACAGAAAGGAGGTGAATCCCCTCCTCCTATTAAAGGATTCTTTCTTTGACTAGGGTTCATCGTTATTCAGAAACTTTCCGACACTATCGCTCTGGCTATCGTCACGACGAACATCTTACGATTTTATCTACCAGGCATTTTTAAACAGAATTGTGGGATATCTTGATCTTGAATTCTTCGAGAGAGATTCAGCTCGTGCTTGGACGAAAGGAATACTCGCGGCTCGATCTTTTCATTACGATTGTTTTAATCTTCTTCCGGTGAATTGTACCAGTGGATGGATATATCTCACAAGCAGGACAGTAAATTCTCTCGTGTTAAATCCACGAATTAGATCGTCGTTTAAAAATCCACTAATCTTACCGCGCATCAACGCAAACATGACGAAGATTTGTCTGAAACTTTCTGAATTTTTGCAATAAAAGAAAGTCTTCTCTCTGATCCTGAATCCTTCTGTGAAATTCAATTCAACGTCGTTCTTCAAAGGAAGGTTCAGTTGTCGTCGATCTCTCTCTATTTCGAAAAATTATTTTACTCCGTTCTCTCTTCGAGAATCTTCTCCCAATAATCGATGGTCGAGAGGAAAAAGAAGAGAAAGAAAAAGAAAAGAAGAGAAACCGTCCCGATTTACCCTGAAATTTGTCTTAATCATCGGCAATGTTGCCTCGCGAGGAATGCAAAATGGAGCCGGCTCCGCGGAGCAGCTCCGTGATCATGTAAATAAGGTATGAAAATGTAGTTTATACTACGTAGCCGAGACCCAGTTTCGCGTTTCCGGGAAGAATGGTAATGGACAGGGAAGAGGACGGACAAAGCGGACGACGGGAAGAAGGAACCGCTGCGCTAAGAATACGTACAGCATCCGGGATACTTCTTATTGGAACAAAGGAGCGGAATAGAATTTTCCAGGCAGCGTCGTCTGCTAACTGCAAATGTACAAGCGACTTTGGCAATCGACGAGCGGTTTCGCGAAACTTTCATGTTCGTTTCGGTGTTTTCCGTTTTCTCGTTTCATTTCGATCGTTCGGCATTGATCGTCTCGATGATTTTTCTGGCCAATCGGTATTACATGCCTTTATTTTACGTGCGATGTGCTCATGTAAAAGACGATAAACTCTCTGCAACATCATTCAACTTGAAAGTTACATATTTATATATTACTTTATTAAATACATCGATGCAAAGTCATTAAATGAACGATTTACGACCGATTGCTAGTTCATTAGATTTTTTCGACTGAAGTCAATACAACTAACGTTTTATAATAAAAATTTCGTTACGACAGGACTCTGTGAATTTAAAAATATATATAGTTATCCCAATATCGGCGGTACAAGGAGGGGATGATTCAACGTGAAAAAACACGCTAAAAATAAAGAATGAAAATTTTTTTGTAAGATTCTCCGATATTGCAGGAAATTTGAAAATTTATTAAGCATACCGGAATTTCGCCAATGCTGAACGTAACAGGTAAAAAATAAATAACAGGAGATGAGTCTGCGTGCAAAAATAAGTTAAAAATGTAGATTAAAATTTTTTCGTTCAAAGCTTCACGTTCAAAAAAGGAAGACTTTGAATATGTTTCGTTAAAAATTGCCTCGGTGTACGCGTAGTTTTTAACATAAATTTTCCAATGATTCTCTTGATGATGACCTTCTCAAAAAACGAGCCATCTCGTGGAAAAATTTTATTCTACATTTTCGACTTATTTTCACACGTAGAATAACCTCCTATTAATTATTCTTTTCTGTCGATTGTTCTATCAATTGTATCAA